AACACAGCAGTCAGCTTTGTACCCTTAAGTATTAAAAGAGGGAGACTGCTCCAAGCCTTGATAGATACATTAATTCGCTTTCAAGCTCATTTTCATAAGCACGTCTGGGCTGCAAGCCTAGGAAGGCCTTATGTGCTTCCAACTACTTGGACTGAACCCAAGACTATATTCATCCACCAAAATACCCCCAAATATTTGGTTGCTTAACTAAAAATACATGTGGCGGTGCGCTGGATAACTTCTGGCTAGTAGAATTAGTGGTGCATGGTACGTGCAAGCCAAGAGTGCTCAGCTCGCTTTAAAAAATAAATAAATTGTAATTTAGCGATCAGTTTGCTTTTAATCTCAATGAGGCAGAGATGAGATGATACAGTTTTTTATTATCCTTCTTAAATCTCTTTCTGTCAAGCTGCAGCACTTAGAAAATATCTGAAAAATTATTAAGCCTGTGACCTACGTATCGCAAACTGTGAGTGCCTTGAAACCTATCTTTTATTCAATAATTCTGACAAATTATATATCTATCTATATATGTGTATATTTATGTATATATCTATATCTCTCTCTCTCTCTCTATATATATATATATATATACACACACACACACACACATATGTATAGGTGCATTTTATGTATATTCTGAATTGTCATTGAAGATTTTATTTTCTATTCAATTAAAAAAAATCTGTACTTTTCTTAAACAAATGGCATAAACGTCTTTGGTTAGCCTCTCTGTTTAAAGGACCCATCAATGACTGCTATTTCTATGTATAATTTCATAACTCATATACTAAATACTAATACTAAAACCTTCACAAAGTGCACTTGGAAGCCCACTCTGCTTTTTACTAACAGAGGCAGGCAGAGAGTGTGGCCAAGCAATGTGACTGCCACTGAATAATTTATTGGCAGGTTTTGGTTTCAGGGCTCCCAGTGGCAACAGCAGCATGTGCTGGCAGGTAGGAGGAGGACCCTTGGAAAGACACTGACTTCAGATATAAAGACCAAATTGCTGTGATGCAAGAAGCATAAATGTGTTGAGGCTGCACCACAAGCATCTGTGTGGCTCCCTTCGAGACCTCTGAGAGAAACAGGGGGGCTGTGAGGTGAGTTTGCGCACACAGGGAATACAATCCGCTTACACTTTCGCGTTTACACATTTGCACTCTTGCTGTGTCTTTAGACGGCCATGCACTTACTGACAATGATTGCGATGCCCAGGAAGAACAGCACCACTGCAAAAACCAGCCCACCAATTCTCAGAGATTCATAATCTGAAATAACAAAAAACAAAAAAAAACTAAAAACACTTTGTAGTGTTTGCAGATTTATATGATGTAACGTTTTAAGTCTTCAGTCTGGAAGCAAGGCGTGAGACAAACAGCAGAGAGCGAGAAAACATCAAAAGAAGAAAGGTCTGTTTAATATATTTTAATATACTTTAATATAGGTATATTTTAATTATACCTGACATCATTTTGAGTATTTTTAATTAGTAATTATTTGTATATAATACATGTACATTCATTTCATGGTTTAGTAAAATGTGTTAAAATCTTTAGTAATAAATATCAAGTGAAAAAACGTTTTGATCACAAGTTTATTTTGTTGTTAAAAAGAACAAAAACACTCATTACGGTACATTGTACATGTATTCAAACTGCTATGGATTTAAATAGTTATTACCTGTAACTCTAATGCAATTAAAGTCATAAAAAATAATGCAACTATAGTCAAACAGTATCCCATGACAACATCATCACTTTGAACTTCAGATAAATCTATTGACCTAGAAGCAGAGGTTTTAATGGCACTTTCTCTTGTTGCCAGTACGAACTATGATTCTTAAAAGTGTAGTGTGTAACTTCTTAGGCTTTTTCTCAATTTTTGACTATTTCATTAAAAACTTTGCTCATTCTTAATTTCATGGCAGCAACGCATCTAAAAAAAGGTCGGGTTCCACAGAAACCTTCTCTTGGCCAAACCGTTATGTGATCAAATCAAATTTTCAATTCTTTTTGGAAAACATGGATGCCATGCCCCCTGGCTAAAGAGGACAGGTATGAAACATCTGGATTGGTATCAGTGCTCAGTTCGAAAGCTTGAATCTCTGATTCTATTACACTCATTGTAAAAGAGCCTGTCACAAAATGAGTAATACAGTCAACAAGTCCCAGGACTGTTTAGCTGCTAGAATCCCATGTCAACAACATTCCTCTCCCAAAGGTCCGGCAACTGGTCTGCTCGATTCCCAGATGTTTCCCTGCTGTTGAAAGAAGAGGGGATGCTGCACGTTGGTAATGTCATGTCCCCGTCCCAACTTTTTTTGAGACGTGTTGCTGCCTTCAAATTCAAAATGAGTAAATAAATTTGAATTTGCAAATCAGTAGATTCCATTTTTATTTACATTTCACACACTGTCACAACTTTTTTTTTTTTTTTCAAATTTAGGGTTGTATATACAAATGATTGTGGTACTTTTGCATCACAGTGCACTCATTCTCCACCAATATTTTCCCTGAGACAGCTCTGTTATTGCATCCGGTAAACATCAGATCACTGCTCTTAGGAAAGTCTATTCCTGTAGTGTAGCATTTTGATTATTTTAGTGTTGTGCCCAAGTGTATTTTAACAGGAAACACTTTGGTGGACCTTAAGTAAGTGAAGCAAGTAGAAACACATGGAGGA